ATTTGCATATGAGAGATGTTGTTTCTTTCACGATGTATACCTTGACATATACAAACCAAATAAAGAAATGATGTTTATCTATAAAAAAAATATATATATATATATATATTTTGTTTAACTTGATTAATTTTATTATTTTATATTAAAATTGATAACTAATGTTTTTTTTTTAATGATAATAATAGTTGAAAACTTATTAACATTATTTATTAAAATTAAAATATATATACTATATAAATAATATATTATTAAAATCTTAATTTAATTTAATTTTTTAATAAACAAATTTTTATAATATTTTTTTTAGAAAAAAAAATATAATAACAAATCATATTATATTATAAAATAATAAATTTACTTTTGCAAATAAAATATATTTAAAAATTATAAAAAAAATTTTTTTTTTGTTTTTAAAGATTTTATCAATATAAAGCTTTATATTGATATTTGCAAAATTATAAATGAAAATTAAAAAATTATTTAATAATCTAATAATTTTAGATATATTAATAAAAATTATTAAAAAAATGTTAAATAAAAATTTCTTGAAATTATAAATGGATCTTTTAATAATTCAAATTCAAATTTCATTAAAAACTTTTTAATTTATTATAAGAAAAATATAAAAATAAGATTATTTTAAATCTTTTCTAATTAGAATAAAATTAAATTTTAAATAAAATTATAATTAAAAGTTTTACAATGTATTATATATACAACATATAACATTATAATTAGTACAAATATAATATAATAGATAAAAATAAAGAAATGAGAAAAATAAATAAAGCATTTCAATACTTACGTAATTAATATAAGAAGATTTAGAATAAATCCAAAATAGTAAGATAATAAGAATAGTTAATAATCTTTCAAGTAATTAATAGCTTGGCATTTACTCAATATTGCACAGTAAGATATGATAAAAATTGAAGCCAATCAAATAATAGAATATATTAATTTTATTTTCTATTTAAATATCAATTTCTATTCACATTACGTGACTTTTTGTTATTATTACTATTATTGTTGTTTTAGACATTCCAACCCGCTAGCCAAGTAAGTAGTTATAAATGAAACTACATATCGAGTTATAATGAAAATTAAATCACAAATTTAAACATTATTTATTTTTAAAGAAATGTTTTTGTTTCACTTAACTTAATGCATAAGTTTAAGATATACAGTATATGAAAAATTAAATTGAAAAAAATTTCTTGACATATTTTTCGCATTCCATAGATAATTTATTGGATTGATTATCGAATTCATTATTAAACTTTAAAATTTATTTAAAGTTGATAACGAACGAGAAGTCAAAAGTTGAGTAATGTCAATGAAATAATTGTTTTAAATGATATTCGATTTGAAAGTAAATATAAAAGGAAAATAACCGAAAGAACTAATCAAAAAAATGGGTTTATTATTTTGTTAATGAATATCATTAGAAAAACGTGGAAAAGCCTACATACTTGTAATTGAGTTATGATCCACGTGAAGCCAGTATAGAACCAAACTTGTACGATATCGTATTTACCAATTAGGATTATAATACCAATTTAACTTGATTGGGAAGCAAATAACACTGTTGTTTATATTTGGTGTACCATATAATCACCAATTAGATGTAATTAATTTTAATTATTCAGGATTCCCAAAATTATAGATACATATCGTGGTTGTCGAAAGAATTACTTACATCCTTAATTTTCAAATCAAAAAAAAAAAATAAACTTAATCACTCTTTCATTTTTTTTCCCTCTCCATCAAAATTTTTATTTGTAAATTTCACCAATTTTATAATATAATTTTTTCCAATGCATTTCATTGAATCATAACCCAGATTAAAAAAGGATATTGTATACGAAAAAAAAAAAAATGGAAAATGAATCAAGGCCGAATAGTAGCTCTTCAAGCGGAGATTTCAGCTCTCGCAATACATCATCATCAAAATCCTCGGTGACCGATGATGTTTATGGTCTTTGTAAAGAATGTGGGTCGCCAAAAACCAGTGCAGAATGGTGTAGGAAATGTAATTCCGAACGATTTCGTAATAGTTTTCATTCTTGGACCAGTGGAAACAAGGACATTGACAACGTCATATCAACTACACAATTGACGGCCATTGGATGCAGTCAGGTGTTAGAATGGATACCTTGGAAAAGGTTTCTAAACATTAGACAAGCGGGATTAGGTAGATTTGGAACAGCATACACAGTCACCTGGCTAGACGGCTATATAACTCATTGGAATAATGACAAAAAGACCTGGGGAAGGTGTGATTCCGGAAAAAAATTTATCGTTAAAGTTCTGCAAAATTCTTCAAATAACTTCTCCAATTTTCTCAATGAGGTATATAATTATCTTTCATGTTTCAATACTATTGATTTCACTTTATCCATCATAAATTTCATTGCGATTTACATGTTATTATTTAATTCCTTTTTTCTCACTTAACAAGCTACTGGCCCACAAAAATGGTCGAAATGGATTAATTAGGTGCTACGGAATTACTCAACACCCTACAACCTTAGATTACGCATTGGTAATTAGGTGCGTTGAGGAGGATTTGAAAATTCATTTATACAAAAACCAACCTTTCCCAGAATATGATTGGAAAACGAAGCTAGAAATCATAGCAGACATAGCCTTGGTTCTTCATAGGATACACGAGTCAGGGTCAGTTCACGGATGTCTTCACACTGGAAATATAAAAAGGCAGATGAATTCAACTTTAATAACAGAGTTAAACATGGTCGATGACTCACCAACCCTATCACATTCCAATGGTGTCTATGGTGTGCTTCCTTATATCGCCCCAGAGATATTGCGCGGAGGTACTTTTACAAAGGCTGCCGACGTGTATAGCCTTGGTGTGATGATGTGGGAGGTGGCAACGCAACGACCGCCATTTGACCTTTGTGCTCACGACAAAATGTTGGCACAAAGAATTTGTTGTGGTTTAAGGCCTCATATCAGTAATAAAATACCGAAATCTTTGGCAAAGTTGATTAAACGATGTTGGGATGCAATCCCCGAGAATCGTCCCGAATCTGAGGAGATCTATATTTGGGTTCAATGGTGGCTCGACTTAGTGTGTAGTGGCACTCCTTCAGACATTGCAGTAGAATTCTGTATTGATAATGAAGAAAAAAAAGAGATGAATGGAATCACGTGGATACATCCAGAGGCAATATATTATAAGCGATATTTGGATTTCTCGAGTTTACCGGAACCAGAAAATTTTTCGCCCGATACATACCATCATATGGTTTCATTTTGTGCGAGAATTCGTAAGTGGTATTTAAGAAGCATCATTATTTTTTCATTATGCTTAAAACTGACTCCCACTTGTCATTAGATCATTCCGACAATCTCGATTGCCATGTAGAACCAGATGTCAAAGATATTAACGGTATGACTTTACGAATGATCACGAAAGATTTTTGGGGACATGTTCCGCTGTACAATTAATTAATAATAGAATTTATTACAAATAGATATTATGTCACTATTTACAAGACGTCCTTCAGTGTATATAGAAGAAGGTATTACAGTTACTAACCACGTCTTGACTCCAACGAATCATTGTTCGAAAGAAGATCCTCTTACCGAATTCAAAATGCCCGGCGCATATAATGGTAGTTATTCAAAATATCTTTGTCAATTATGTTAGTTGTTTTTGAACACTTCAAATTTTTCTGACGAGAAAAAAAATTTTTTTTTTTTTTACTTATAGGTAATAATGGTGAAGTTTTAGCATCTTGGCAAGGTAAATTTTTTATCAACGTTTGTCATATTATATCCTAAAACGTTGATCACTAATATAATCCTCGCTTTCATTTACACAATATACATTTAAACACAGATATAGAAAATTATGTGAATAATCTAATAATGACACTGTTACCGCGCGCAATCTCGTTGCTTTTTCCCACACTTCCCAGTTTTTATCGCTCATTACCCCCATACATTAGAATTATTCTGCTGGCTCTTACGTTCTATTTACTGTTTACTTGCCTCTGGGCAATCACAAAATTGCTTCAGGTTTTTTTTTTTCGTTATTGAATTTTTTTGGAAGGTTGCGTGTTGTCGTTATCATTTTTGGCAGGGGTGTTTTCATTGTAGCTTTTATAATGATTTATACTTACATGTATAGCGAGTTCGGAGACAATTAATTAGAAATCCTTACAATGTTAGAATAGATTTATGTAATAATTTTATGAAAACTGTAATTTTATATTCCTAATGTGCGATTAGACAATATGCATATCTTCCATTAAAATTCAATAACGACTTTTTTTTTTCAAAAAAATATATCCAATACACTGTTTATCCATCGCATTATTGATAAATATTTCACATGTATAAAGAATTTGAATTGACGCATTCACCAACGAAGGCAATTGTATAAAACGTATTTAAAAGCTTCATCAATCAAAGCTCTAGGAAAACCATATTTCGATGCCAATTACGCGAACATCTTTTTATACTATTCGTATAAAATTGAAGAAATCAATTCTATATTTTTTCTAATGAGATAATAGTGATTAATTGATTTAATGAATTTATTCGGAATTACTGTATATAAATAAAAAACTAGAAAACGGAAACCGTAAGAGTAAAAAGCTTTAGATTATTTACCTTTGATCGTATGAAACGCGAAGGAATGCCCGAATTTGCCACAGACTCGCTGATTACGTTTACAACGCTATAAAAAAAAAAAATCTAGAGGAAAGGGTGTTCGCACTGAAAACCCAATATGCACTAAAGCTTGTGTCACTCAAAAAGAGGTGAATAGTTTATTCAGGGCTAGATCCATTGCTCGAATATACCACCACCATCTCTAAGGATCAACAAACGATAGGAAACAGGCTTCACCACTTGCCCATGTTGCAGTTGCGCAAGGAAGGTTCTCATTCGGAACCAGTAGACCTTGTTACCTACATCGCAGACTCGACCAGAACACAACGTTATAAGGAAACACTTGGCTTTTTTTTCCATAGCTAGAGATTTTGGTGAGGTAGAATATTAGGAAAGAGACCTTTCTTGCAGTGAAGAATATTTCGGTTCGGAGAAGTGAAAATAAAAGCTTTTTTTTTTTCGTAATTAAATAAGTATTTATGAAATTTATTTAATCTTAATATAGAATACATATTGGTTTAACAACTTTTATATACAAACTTTTTAAATATAATACTTGAATATTTGTCTTAGATAAAATTATTTCTAGATATAATCTTGGAGATGAATAAAATTGCTTGTTTTCATATTGTGACGGGCAAACGGCGAGTCTGTCGCTAATGCTAACAGGGGTTCGCGTAACCGTCACTTGTGTTTCTTTAAATAG